CTGGGGCTGGGCGCTCCCCCCCCAGCTGGCGGCGGCTCCTCCCCGCTGGTTTAGCTTCTGGTTTCATTTCCCGAGGCTCGACCACTTTCCTTCTCCCCTCCCCCAGCCCCTTGAATTCCTAGCTCCTTCAACACCTTCTGGTCTCACCTCCGAAGTCACCTCCTCAGGGAGGCTCTCCGGGACCACCTGGCCACGGACACCTCTCCTCAAGCCTCTCTATTACTCCCATCCTATTTTGTTGTCTTCAAGTCCCTGAATGGAAGCAGAGAGTATCTTAATCATTTATTCATCTTCCAGGGTCTTCTCATCCTACTTAGAAAGAAAAACAAAGGCCCATAGAGTGCTCTGAAGGGCCTGAAAACTTCCCGACTCCTCCAGACAGCATACAACCCAGCTACACGGGCCTCACTGCCAGGCCGGCAGCGAGCACACCACCACTTCCCGGCCTTCGCACTGGCCCTTCCCTCTGGTGGAACACTCTTCCAGCAGAGCCTTACTACCTCTACTCCATGTCACCTCTTTTGTTTGTTTTTTTAATTTCTTTCTTTTTAAAAGATTAAATATATCTTTATTGACTTCGGAGAGAGGGAGGGAGAGAGAGAGAGAAACATCAATGATGAGAGTCATTGATTGGCTGCCTCCTGCAGGCCCCCTACTCGGGATGGAGCCAGCAACTGGGGCATGCGCCCTAACCGGGAACCGCACCGCAATCTCCTGGATCCTAGGTGGATGCTCAACCGCAGGGCAATGTTACCTCTTTTCATATTTCCACACCCTCCCCTAATCCATAATAAGTGAGACCATGTGAGCCTTATCCACTGCTGTACCCTCATCATCTACAGCAGTGCTCATCATATAGTAGGTGTTCAATAAAACATGTTAATCAAATGACTCCTGTGAGCTCTTCTTCAGTGTATGACCTGGAGTGAGCCTCTCCGGAGACTCTGAGCTTCTTTTTCTCTGGGCCAAAAAGATAGGTTGTGGGGAAAATTATATAAATTTGCCAAGCAAGGGCCTGGTTCTAATTAACATTTTACCCTCTTTTTATTATGAAAATTTTCAGGCACATAGAAATATATATATTTTTAAGTATGTATTCAGAGCACTTGAATACCCTTCCATCTACATTTAATTGTTAACACTAAGTTTTCTTTATCTGCATATGTATATATGTGTGTGTGTATATATTTTTTTCTTTTGCTGAACCACTGGAGAGTAAATTGCAGACATCATGACATTCTACCCCTAATAGCTCAGCAGGCATCCTTAAGATTAAGGACACACAGTAGTTCAGTCGGTTGGAGCTTGTCCCCATCTGCCAAGTTTGCAGGTTTGATCCTGGGTCAGGGCACATACAAAAATCAAGCAATGAATGCATGGATGGGAGGAACAATAAATTGGTGTCTCCCTCTCTCTCTCCCCCTTCCTCTCTCTCTCTAAAGACAATCAATAATTTTTTTTTTTTTTTAAAGATTAAGGACGATCACCTACAAACCACAATACTAGTCCACATCTAACAAAATTCCAAAATAGCATGTATTATCAGGTCAATATTCAAATTTCCCCAATTTTCCTAAAAATATCTTTCCTAGTTACCCCTCCTTCCCCCCATCCCAAATCAGGATTCAGTGAAGGTTCACATGCTTATTTGGTTGCAATGAACAAATTGTATAGTACCTTTTATCCTGGAACACCCTCCCCCAGCCTCATTAATCCCTTTTTGTGTTTTCCTAAAATTGAATTTTTGGTGGAATAGCCCAGTTTTATTATTGATGTCCCACATTCTGTATTTGTCTGGTTATGGTCTATCTCTCTCTCCCTCTCCCTTCCTCTCTCTCTAAAATCAATAAAACATGTTTTTTTTAAATTGGCATTTTTGCCTGGCCAGGCATGGCTCAGTGGTTGAGCATTGACCTTGGATCCAGGAGATTGCTGTTCAATTCCCAGTCAGGGCACATGCCCGGGTTGCAGGCTCAATTCCCAGTAGGAGGCGTGCAGGAGGCAGCAGATCAATGATGACTCTCATCATTGATGTTTCTATCTCTCTCTTTCCTTGTCCCTTCCTCTCTGAAATCAATAAAGATATACCTAAAAAAAAAAATTGCATTTTTATTTCAGAAGATGGTGTACTACAGAAATAATTGAAGTTTTGTTTACCAGAGGCAAGTATTAATTTAGTCCCTATGAACTACTGATCCCTCTTGAGATTGTAACACATGCACTCCTAAATCAGTGTGTTTAGACTTTTGAGTATTTTAACTCATTTCTGGACATGTAACATGTTTATAAACCTCTTGATTTCCAGCAACATATAGAAAACACCTGCTATTTAAAGCACTTCACAAGTTCCACTTGATGTCAGTCTGAGTTGCACTGGCCAGGGTCAGAGTGTTTTTGTAATAAAGGTTCATAAGACCTGACTGCCTTGTTTACCTGTGCTTCCCTTTTGGAAGAATTCAGCCTCAATTCACACTTCATAGTTAGGATGTTGCTCCACTGCCAAAGGTTCACCATTTCAGTAATTCGACTTGGATACTGAAACTTCCTGGGACACACAATCCATGTGTGTCTCTCTCCGTTCCACTCCCTCTGAAAAGCAATGAAAAAAATATCCTTGGGTGAGGATTTAAAAAAGAGAGCACAATGTTAACTATCCTGTAATCCAATTCCTGCCTTCATGTAACCTTCCTTATGCTCCCTCCTTAAATCCAAATGTATAAAAGGAACTGCAAACTGTCATTCGCTGGAGCACTTGAAATCTTGCTTCCTGGCGTATGTCTTCAGTTTGGCTCAAATAAACTCTTATAAAAATTCTCTACAGGTTTGGATGTTCTTATGCCAACACTATATACCACATCCTCTTTATCCACTTGTCTATTGATGGACACCTAGACTGCTTCCATATCTCGGCAATTGTAAAATATGCTGCATAGTGTAGTTAGCGTATTTGAGAACTTACTTTGGCCAGGAGCGTTATTCATAGCTAACAGCTCTTCCCACAGTTTCAGAAGAGTTAGCAAATGAGCTACTTGAAGAAGCTAAGTCCCATTGTCAGTTTATCTGACAGGTATTAAACTCCTGTCACCTATATGCCACTCTGAGTGTCCCCCCATTGAGCTAAGCACCGGTGCTACCACCACAACAACTATTACTACTGATAAAAGGCCATGCACACCACTCTGGGCATTTTGCACAAATTGTTCTATTTAATCCACAACAATCCTCTGCCCCAAAGCTATTTCCCACATTTTAACAAAGATGAGGAAATAGAGACTCTAAGGAATTACAACCCTTGCCCAAGGTCACACTTAGGGAACAGAGCCTGGTATGTGACTCCAGTGGCATCCCCCTCCACACCCCCTCCTGCCTTCTGACTCCCACAATTGAGTCCTTCTACCAGCATTTGCTGAACCTGGAATAGTATTCTTATAGATCCGATCTTATTTTAACTTTCCTAACTCAAGAGATAAGCAAGAAGATTCCCATTTAATAGACTTCCTGTGGCTCAGATAGGTCGAGTTTTTCCAAGGTCACACATCAGGTGATGAGTTAGAATTTGAACCCAGGCCTGGCTAGCCTAGAGTGTAGATCCCCTGTAGGGCCGGGCGCGGAAGAAGCTCGATTGCTGGGTTTGGCATGTGCATGGTTAAGTGTGAAAGGTCCGCACCTTGGAAGGCTAAAAACGGCTCCCTATCGCTGCCAGGGCAAGCAGCCACCCCCTTTTCTCCCCTCCCCTCCCCTCCCGCCGCCGGGGCATGCGCCCTGAAGCCAACCTCCCCTCCCTTTGAACCTGCCCACAGGCCCCGCCCATCCGGTCCAGGGCCAATCCCCGGTGGAGGGCGGGTCCGCACGGGAGTGGGCGGTAGCTAAGAGTAGTCAGGAGCCTGGAGTCGTGAGTCGGAGTCAGAACTGCGTCTCCGGACCCAGGCGCCGGTTGCTGAAGGAGGACTAGCGAGCGATGCTGCCGCCGCCGCTTTCTGATTGGCTGCGGATGGCTCCCTTTTTGTTCTGATTGGCAGCTGGCGAACTGGGTATGTAAATGAAGGGAAGGGGCCTAGGTAGGGAAAGAAGGGGTACCGGTGGCGGGGGTCTCTGGCAGGTTCGATCCCCGGGTCCGGCAGGTGTTCGCCGGGGCTTCCCGGGATCGAAACATGCTGGACTCTAAGCGCCGCCCGCCTCGGCCGGGCCGGGTGAATCACGCCGCAGCCCCAGAAGGGGGTGGAGGCGCCGGCTCCCTGGCTCCGGCTGCGTGACTCACCCGCCCCCGCCGCCGCCGCTTCGGGAGGAGCCGCCTCCACTGCCTTCCGGTAGCGAGCGGAGGCCGAGTGGGCAGAACAGCCCACCCGGGATCCCGGCCTGCGCGGCCTCGGGCGGCAGACGGGAGCGACAACCAGGACCTGGGGCGGTGTGAAGGGTCCCGGGGTCTAGGGGGCCGGAATCCCCGGAGGAAGGCCCGCCCGGCGCCGCTAGGGGGCGCCGGGACCGGGAGGCGCAGTCGGGGTAGGGGGCTAAATTCCTGCGGTTTTGGACTCCAGGGTCTACTGGGAAGGAGGCGAGGACCCAGTTCTGAGTAGTGTGAGGGGTTGGGGTCCTGCTGGACAAGGACCCTGGAACTGGACCCTGCCAGCTGCTCAGCTCAAAAAACCAGCTTGGGCTAGGAGTCCAGAACTCCAGGTACCCCCCCCCCTCCGAAAGTGTGGGTCTTCATGCTGCTCACAGTGACTCCCGTGCCCATCAGGATTTCCTGGCAAGCTCTGTCCACTCTGCCTCCCAAATAAATTCTGAATCGGCCAACTTCCTTCCATAGCCATTACCACCGTCTACTCCAAGCCACCATCATTGCCGTCCCGAGGAGTGCCGTAGCCTCCGAATGGCCCCTTCCCCCTTCTCTCCTCACTCCCCATCTTCTTTGAAGTAGCCAAGGGGGAGCTTCTGGAAACCTAATCAATTCACACCACCGCTCTCCCCCCTGCTCAAACCCGCGCAGTGACTTCCCACCACACTCACAGTAAAATCTAACTTCTTGCCTCTGCCTACTCTCCACCCCACCCCCACCCCGTCACTCCTGTGTGCTGACCACACTGGTCTTTTTTTTTTTTTTT